TCAGGCACTGTTTCCTGGAGTCATCCATCACCTTCTCTTTTGAGCCCAGTATTTCCCGGGAATTTTTCTCCCCTCTGCCCCTCCACATTGCCTCTCTCTCTCTCTGTCACTGTCTTTCTCCCCTGTGACCTCAGCCTTTCCACTAGGCTCCATCGATCGCATCCATCGGTCGGGTGGCGCCAAATCCTCCCTCCCCTCCTCCTGCTCCCCGTCTTTCTAAGCTTGGTGCTTTACCTGTTCCGTTCCGTTCCTTCAAGTTCATTTGCCTGGCCAGTAAGCGGTTCATCAGAGAATCCCCAAACACCCAGCAAAAAAGCAAAATATCGGTCACCTCACGGCCTACTTCTCCATATTATCCATACTTGAACCTTGGTCCTCCTTCGATTCTCTTTTCCCCTTTCTCGTTTTTCCCTTTCTTTTCCTTTTGACGTATTGTTCCCTTTTTTTCTTCATTCTTTCACTTTGCTCTTTTTCGAGTCTCGACCACAAAAACTTAATTCCCAAAACCTCGAGTCGTTCCCCCCTTTGACCCTCGTCGCTCCAGACCATTTCTTTGTCGCATAGCCTCTGGATGGATACCTGGTGGCCATGAGCACGACCGAAAACCACACAGATCCATCAGCTTCCAAAACCAGCCCAGCCCCAAGTACAGCGGGCTCAACGGGCACTTCAGGTATTACTGTGCGCACGGGAGCAAACGGACATATGAGTTTCAGAAGGTGAGTGTTGACCGTTGTGGTGATTGCTTTTTTGCCCGTTTGCGCTCGCGGGGCTGTGAGTGATGAAGCCAGACTGCCTGGCGCAGAACTCCCAGAACCCGAGCGGGGGGACTACAGGACGTGAAATATAGATTCAAATTTGGTCGAGATCTTATAGAAGCTAATCTCTTTTATCTAATCGCTTTTCTCCCAATAGACAACGTGCGTCGCGTGCTTGTGAGGTACGTCTTGCTTCCTGCGAGGTCGCGTTTGTGCTGTTGAGCCTCGGCACCTCGGCTCAAATCCCAGCTTGCTTTTGCTCCTTACTCGCCGGTCGCAGATAATGCGCCGCGCGCAAGGACAAAGACAATGCAACCACATCTCGATCTATAGGACTTTTGTTTGGCTAACATGTTTTTCTCTTGCGCTTATGAAGACATGCCATGCTCGAAAAGTGAGTCTATACCCCTTTTCCTCCGTGTAACCACCTGTCCCCACTCGGATGGATGGCCCCAGTCCTGCCCGTGCCTGGCCTGCGCCTTGTGATCGTGGACGGCTGAACAAGCTCGCTAATCACGCCACTCCATGGGTAGGTTCGCTGCGATGCTGCCAGTCTAGGGGTGCCATGCACCAACTGCGTGGCCTTTTCGATCGAGTGCAAGATCCCTACACCGAAACGCAAGAAGAACCAAACCAAGTCAAAGGAAACAAGCGGGTATGTCTCGGTCTTCCGTTCCATCGTCGGTGTCGAACTATATTGACCATGATGCTTCGTTTCTTGTTTACTAGAGGTGAGGAAGCCGAACCGAAATCGCCGCCGAGCAAACCCGAGCCACTACCAGTCGAAAGCGGGAAGGATGCCTTTGGCTATCAGAGGAATCGGATGGCTGTCGACGGTATGCCGGTCACTAGCCTCACCGAATCGCAGGCCGCTCAACAGGCTTCCCACAATTCGATGTATGCTCAATTTATGAAGCCTAAGTTTGCGCGCGCCCCGATAAAGGAAGCGGGGAGGGTGGCATATCTTGGAGAGTCGTCGAACCTGTCGCTCCTCGTCCAGGACCGCCATGGGACCACCGATGTCGTACACTACCCTCTACCCCCGAACATGGGCGGCACGCCTGCTCGGTTGACAGATCTGGATAGCTTGGAATTGGATATACTGCACCAACGTGGCGCCTTCTTGCTGCCTCCAAAGCCACTGTGTGATGAGCTGGTTGAGGCCTACTTTAAATGGGTGGCCCCCGTTGTGCCCATCGTCAACCGCAGCCGCTTCATGCGACAGTATCGTGATCCAAAGAACCCACCGTCTTTACTTCTTCTCCAAGCCATACTCCTGGCAGGTTCAAGGGTCTGCACCAATCCGCAATTGATGGACGCCAACGGCTCTACTACGCCAGCTGCCATGACATTCTATAAGAGGGCAAAGGCACTATACGATGCTAATTACGAGGACGACCGAGTCACTATTGTCCAAGCCCTGGTTCTTCTAGGCTGGTACTGGGAGGGACCTGAAGGTATGGATAGTGGCTTATGCTAATCGTATCTTTGAACTCCATGTGTATATGTGCTAACCCGCTCTAGATGTTACGAAGAATGTCTTCTACTGGACCAGGGTGGCCATGGTCGTGGCTCAGGGTTCGGGTATGCATCGAAGGTATGCACAAGGCTGACTTGTCCTTTAATGCACATTCATTAATGGTACAACAGTGTGGAATCGTCTCAACTTACCAAGCCGGATAAGAGGCTGTGGAAACGGATCTGGTGGACCCTGTTCACAAGGGACCGATCAGTGGCTGTCGCGCTCGGCCGGCCTATCGGTATCAATACTGACGATTCGGATGTCGGGATGTTGACGGAAGACGACTTCATTGAAGATGAGATCGACATCGCGGCGGAGTATCCGCCAGACCCGGTACACGTACAATTCTTCCTTCAATATGTTAAGCTCTGCGAAATCATGGGGTTGGTCCTCTCCCAGCAGTATTCCGTGGCCTCGAAATCAAGACGGATGAACGCTATGGATCTCACCCACTCCGACATGGCATTGGCAGATTGGCTCCAAAACTGCCCGAAGGAGGTGTGCTGGCAACGTCAACGGCATCACTTCTGGGCTGCTCTTCTCCATGCCAACTACTAGTGAGTCATGCAATAAGGGAATTTGTTCGGTCTCGAAACTAACCATGTTAAGCACAACACTTTGTCTCCTGCATCGAGCCCATATGCCGCCTGCATCTTCCGTCTCAAGCAATTACCGCGTAGAAGAGATGGCCTACCCTTCGCGAACCATTGCGTTCCAGGCTGCTGGAATGATCACTTCAATTGTTGAGAACCTCCAGAATCACAGCGAGATCCGATATGCGCCTGCCTTTATGTAAGTTCTTGCACCTACCATATGGTGACGTCTACTAACTCCTGCAAAGTGTCTACAGCTTGTTCTCGGCCTTGATTATGCATGTTTATCAAATGCGATCTTCCGTTCCCTCAATTGTGGCCACCTGCCAGGAACGGATTAACATCTGCATGCAAGCCCTCAAGGATGTGTCGAAGGTCTGGCTCGTAGCCAAGATGGTGCACACGCTATTTGAATCCATTCTCGGAAATAAGGTCCTAGAAGAACGCCTCCAGAAAGCCGCAGGCAAGAGACATCAGCGGGTACGGCCTGAGGCAGCCCAGCAGCCGCCTGCGAAGAAACCCGAACCCCCCAAGCGCAAGTTCGACGAGATGGAATTTGGTCTACCGAATGGGGGAGGCCCCACGCCACCGGTATCTTACGAGCGATCTCGTCCCCAAACGCCTGCAGTCACGCCCTCGAGAGAGATGCAGCCTCCGGGTCTGAACCTGCCACAAGGCTCCCCTCCAGCTCCCGGGCAGCCGGGTACCTCGCGCGGCAATACGCGCCCGACGACTCCTTTCAATCAATACTCCTTGCCTGCCACGCCTCCGGATCTATTCCTTGTTACGCGTACATCACCCAACCTTTCCCCATCACTGTGGGAGAACTTTCAACCGGATCAGTTGTTCCCTGACGGCACGACGTTCTTCCCAGAGTTGACGTCGCCCCAACCGAACACAGTCGACCCGCAACTGCAGATGCAGTCTCAGCTACAAGCTCAAAGCATGGACCAACGGACGATGATGCCGCAGCAAATACCAGGACGTGGTAGTATATCCGCCGCTCAGGGTAGTCCGGAAGTCATGTCGACTCTAAACCCTGGAATGGGCCTGCCAGGCCAGCATTCACAGCAGGTGTTTGGGATAGAAAGCCAGCAGGCTTGGCCAATGCAGAATATGGACGCGACGCTGGGCGGAGCGCCTATGGACGCCGCGAGTCAGGATGACAATTGGAGCAGTAGCTCAAGGAGCGGCCCGACAGCTCCCACCACACTCAATGTGGAGGACTGGTAAGTTGGTCATGGCGGCTCAGAGCAGGGCCTCAACAAAGATGTGACTGTGCTAGTATACTGACTCGTGGTTCTCGCAGGTTCCAATTCTTCGGCATTAACGGTAGTTTCGGCGATCTGGCGACCTAAGCGGCGTTGTGTCTATAGCGCTTTCTATATTTGATATGGCATGGGTGGTTGTTTGATGGATATATACGGTCATAGTGGTCTAATCGTCAATATGCTGTCCAGCTAATCCTTCGGAATTCCGAAGGGTATATTTTGTTTTGTATTTCAGTACAGCGAGCCTTATGTCCAGATCTCCCCGGTTGTTGGAGATGTGGATGAGTGTCATTCTTGACGGTGGGCGGTGGGATCAGGCGCAACTGGAGGATGTGCCTTACATTCATGTGTATAATGACTTTTAGTGGTAGAGCCGAAATGATGCAATGAAAATTGCAAGTAAACTTTTCATGGAATAATTCAGTTGGAATGTAAAACTACTCTATACGTAACTAACAGGTGAGTACCAGTGTTGGCTCGATGTCTGCCTCAGGCTGTATATGAGTCAGCAATGAGACTGTTCCCACTTGGGCCTAGCGGATGACGACATCGCAGGGCGGGCGGTTCAGCCAATGACAAGACGCGGGATCTGGGGCCAGCTTTACCGACTCGGGCAACCGTCGATGCTGACTACTCCTGGGGGATGACTCTTCTGGGGAAGATAATAATTTCGCCTTTTCCATACCAGAATCTCCTGTTATCCCATCAATCTTTGGCAATTTCATTCTGCTTTTTGCCATTGTCATCTCTCTTTTGTCCAATCCCACCTGTTGTCATATCCGGTGGTGACTCTCCCTTCTTTCCGACCCCTTTCTCACACCCTTGACCATCTCCCCGCTGTTCCGTCCCCGCAGCGATGTCGGCCGCAGGATCAAGTAGTGATGCCGCGGTGAAGAAGGCTTTCCCTCGGGTTGACCTCGAGGGTCACGACCTTCCTCCCTCCCCCGCCCCTTCGAGCCCCCATGGTGGCCGTCGCTATAACATTGCTACGGAGCTGGTATATACGGAGGGAAATGACCAGTACAATGCTAGCAGCGTTCCCATCTACCAGGTACCGATTAATTCCCCGTGATGTCTCATCGGCCGGATGTCAACCATGCAAAGACATGACTTGAACGGGAAGACAGGGCTAATTGATGCTTTTGTAGAGCGCTACATTCAAACAGACCTCCGGTGGTGGAGGCGGCGAATATGATTACACTCGCTCCGGAAACCCGACCCGGACACATTTGGAGCGTCACCTCGCCAAGATCATGTCCGCCCAGCGGGCTCTCGTCGTGTCCTCTGGTATGGCTGCATTGGATGTGATTACCCGTCTGCTTCGTCCTGGCGACGAAGTTGTGACCGGTGATGACCTCTACGGTGGCACCAACCGTCTTCTGAAGTACCTGTCCACGAACGGTGGCATCATCGTCCACCATGTTGATACTACAGTGCCGGAGAAAGTGCGCGAGGTTCTGACTTCGAAGACGGCGATGGTTCTGCTGGAGACGCCGACCAACCCGCTCATCAAGATCGTGGATATTCCTCAGATTGCTGCCGCCGCCCACGAAGCGAACCCTAACTGCGTCGTTTCGGTCGACAACACCATGATGTCGCCTCTCCTGCTGAACCCTCTCGAACTCGGTGCCGATATCGTGTATGAGAGTGGTACCAAGTATCTTTCCGGTCACCACGACCTTATGGCGGGTGTGCTCGCCGTCAACGACCTGTCTCTCGGCGAACGCCTTTACTTCACAATCAACGCGTCCGGCTGCGGTCTGTCGCCTTTCGACTCGTGGCTGCTGCTGCGTGGAGTGAAGACACTCAAGGTTCGGATGGATCAGCAGCAGAGCAACGCCCAGCGCATTGCCGATTTCCTGGAAACCCATGGCTTCAAGGTGCGGTACCCTGGTCTGCGGTCGCACCCGCAGTATGAGCTGCACCACTCGATGGCTCGGGGATCGGGAGCCGTGCTCTCGTTCGAGACCGGTGACGTGGGTGTCAGTGAGCGTATTGTCGAGAGTGCCAAGCTGTGGGCCATCAGTGTCAGCTTTGGCTGTGTCAACAGTTTGATCAGTATGCCATGCCGCATGAGCCACGCCAGTATCGATGAGAAGACGAGACGGGAGCGCGCCATGCCCGAGGATCTGATCCGGCTGTGCGTGGGTATTGAAGATGCGGATGATCTTATTGATGACTTGCGACGGGCGGTAAGTTTGCCATTTTCTCTCAAATGGGGTGATTGATCACTTTGAGCTAATATTGGATGCAGCTGGTGCAAGCTGGTGCTGTCAATGTCACGCTGGACGACTTCCAGGCGAACTCGTCCAACTAAGCTACGTATGCATAACACGCGCGCGACTGATGGATTGTGCAAGTTCTTCCTGTAATTGAGGCATTGATTGAGTGCTACGGTCACGATTTTAAGAGACGATCATTTGGGCGTTCAGGAGCATTAAATAATGAGTGTAGTAAAAACTTTTTGGAATGAAACAACTATATTATCTGCAACATCTACATTGTAATATTGTCATGTCGGTGGATCGTTTATCCCGGGAATGGCAGGGAACCGTTTATCCGGGAATGGCGATGGCCTCAAAAACCAGGGATCCGTCGGCAATTTGGCGGAAAGATCGGCCGGCATCGGAGGCAATCCCGAGGGCGTTGCAAAAGCTGGACCAATCATTGGCCGGACACTTCTCGTCCGCCTGCAATCCGATTAAATAATGAGTCGCTGTCGCGATGGATCTGATCTCTCGCTCACTCGCTCTTACTTATGTATGTCGGGCGCGAGACTAACAAACTCCGAGCTCTTTTTTTCTTTTGCAATGGACCTGTAATCCCGTCGGGCTCCCGTGCCTTAATCCCTCGTTTTGGACTGCGAAACTGTTCGCCATCCCCAAACCCCCGACAATCTCACCCATCCGCCCTCCCCGGCAATTGTCTTCTCCTGCGCTGGTCTGGATGACGTTAATCGAGCTGTCGTTGTAACCTCCTTCTCTTCACCCCGGGCGATCCTTATCTCGGCCCTAGACTTGCTCGTTCTTTCTGTCTTTTCATCCTTTTGCTTGTCTCTTTCACTTCTCCTCTGATCGCATCCCCGACCGGTGAAACATACCATGCCTCGGAACGCGCTCTCCTCCGAAGCGCCTCTCCCCATGTCCGCCATCACGGAGCAGTCCATCTCGTCGGATTGGAATACCAACCGTTTAGGTGCGCGACTGGGAGTCGATGTCGCCAGTGCGGCGACTGCAGGTGCCTTGACATGTCCTGTCATCACCGTCATTGATCGGTATGCTAGCTACAAACTACCCTTGATGCATCCTCATGCCTCGAAAAGAGAGACCGAGATAAGGAAAGAAAAGCTAACGGGATCAATTCTTTGAACCAGCGCGATCATCGAAAAAGCAGCCAAGGGCGTCCCCATCCGCCAGACCATCACATCCTGCTTCCGATCCATGTTCACACAACCGGGGAGCTTCTTCCTCAGCACCCCATTCCTCCTTATCTACACCCTCTACACATCCACCTACCTCACCGCGAACACCATTGACACCTTCACCTCCACCGTGCGCGATAAGCCCTTCTCGACCGTCTTCCCCGGCACCGCCAAATTCCTCACCACCACCGCCGTGAACATGGGGATTTGCGTATACAAGGACGCCAGGTTCGCGCGCATCTTCGGTGCAAAACCCTCTCCTCCTGCAGCGACATCTGGAGCGCCACAACCCGCTTCCAGATCTACATCCACGTCTACCCCAGCCTCCTGCCACCCCTCCGGCGCCGCCAAAGTCCCCAATATCTCCTACGGTCTTTTCTGTCTCCGCGACAGCATCACCATCTTCGCCTCCTTCAACATCCCCGCCCTCGTCGCTCCCTCCATCCCAGACTCCATCGCCTCCACACCCGGAATGAAATCCGCTCTCGCGCAATTCTCCTGTCCGGCTCTGATGCAGTTCGCGAGCACGCCTATGCACCTGCTCGGATTGGATCTATATAACCGGCAACCGCCGGGCGGGTTGGGATGGCGTGAGCGCGCCTCGCGCATCAGACGCGACTATATCCCCAGTTGCTTTGCGCGCATGGGCAAGATCGTTCCGGCGTATGGTGTGGGTGGTGTGGTAAACGTGCGGATGAGAGCTTCATTGATGGAGTATTTGGAGGGCAAGAATTAAACCGCTTACTTTTTCTTATTTGTTTGCGACGACGTTGATGATGATATCCCCTCCCTTTACAAGATCCAGTTTATGATCCTTGGATTCTTTCATGAGGGGAGTGGGCTACTTACAGTGCATATATGCAACACGTGACATATACTTATAGACTGAAGCAGAGAGGCATATGCTCTGCTCTGCTCTGCTCTGCTCTGTTCTGTTTTGTTCTGCTTGACTGTTATATCTGTCTGCTTTCCTAAACTACACTACACTCTACTCTCCACTCATAGAGTCAGTCACGGGTCCGGCGCCTATTCGTTGATACCTATGTTTTTCTTTACTTTCGAATCATCGGTGTTCCATGTGTGTGTTTGTGTGTGTGTTCTGTTCGGGTTATAGATTTAGAGAATCTGACTTACTAGCTAATGTCTGGTTTTGGATGATTGATTATGAGATGAGATGAGATGTACTTGAATTTGTCTGTGTTATATGATTGATAGCCTGGCTATCTAGATCTTCTATCACTTGGTATTATATCGATCGATCAGGTCGGAATATGGGCAATATGGAACTTAGTGGTTTAGATAGATGGATCGAATTGGATTGGATTGAAGCCCAGAACAAATGAGATATGTACTAGTATATAATTCATCTGATTCGAATAGTGATCATCATTTTAGTACGACTAGGTAAATACGTACTAGGGTATGTACGGTGCTTTATGATAGAGATATTATTAGGTACTAGTAGGTAGTATCCCTTCTGCTATTAATATATCAGTTTGGAGCCAAGTCTGGAGTGGAAGTTGTAAGCGTAAGTAAAGTAAGTGGTGAGAGGTTCCATATGGGATAAGTACTATCTTTTTAGTGAGTAATTGAGGGTATTAAGGTACAATATGTAAGTATATGCTCGAATAACTAACAAAAAAGAAAGGGGGAATTAATGAACTGCACAAAGAATGTTATCCGGATTTAGTGAGTGCTTTTGTTGCACATGTCCTCAAAAAAGCCAAAGAAGGAGGGGGAAGAGAGTATCACACATGAAGCAAAAGATGGTAAGTCAGTGATGGAAAGATCAAACCTAGGTACAAGCAAAAATATAAGGAAACTATCAAAGTATTCGAGGTCGAAGTTGTATGTAAGCGAAATACTTATTTTACCAGCTAATGAATATTTGCGTTAGTTTAGATCTTCAATCGCTGCAGCAGAGTGAAGGACTCACGAGAATGATTCCGTATGCAGATAGACTTCCTCCACGGTGCTACCCTTCTTCAGAACTTGACCTTGCGCTTCTGCAGCTGCGTTTCTCACGTCGCGGATCATGGACCCCGGGCCACAGGTAAAGATGGCGATGCGTCTCGACGTGTTGGATGTAGTGCGGGCTGCGATAATCCCTGGTATGTCTGGTCGGTTCCCCATTTGGACAACCGTATCTGCAATGTCCACCTGCGATGAGACTGAGTCGACGGAATCCCCAGGTCGTCTCTTTTCCACTGAGTCTGGGATCAGGGGCGATCCCGAAGCTGGGGTGGACAAGAGTGTGTCCTTCGTGGTGACGTGAATGGAGAGGGAGATCTTGTCGCTTGAGACGTTGTAGGCTGCAAGCTTCGCTTTGATTTGCTCCCGGTACCAGTCTGCGAGAGCCGCGGTGCGGGTTGCAAAATGTACTTGGATTGTTGCGGTGGGCTGTTGCTGCTGATGAGTCCGCAGTGCTTCCTCGAGAATGGCCAGGGAGAAGCCACCGCCAGTTCCTCCAGTAATTAGGACATAAGTGTCAAACCGGGCGAAATCGACGGATTCGGAAATCCCGCCATATGGGCCTTCGAGGAGCACTGTCTCAGATGAGTTCGGCTTTTCGAGAGCCGTGTTGCCCAGACTGGCCGTTAGTCCGCGGCGCGGCTTGACGTAGAAGATGATTTCAGGGGCTTTGCCGGTTGTCTCGAAGTCCTGGTAGAGGGAGCAGATGGTGAAGGGGTGGGCGCTGAGACAGTGGATGCCTTGCTGGAGGCTGAGGAATCGGACGAAAACGTGTTGGCCTGGGCGCCAGGCCATGATTGTCGGAATGCGGATCCGGACGAGGCCGCAGGGGAGGTGTTCGATTGTGGCTGTGTGGCGGCCATGCATGAAGTAGGTACGAATGTTGGATATCCATAAGCTGAGGATGTAAATAGCTCCTGCAGAGATGAAGTAGTCCCTGATATGGTGAGCGGGATCCATGGTGTGGTAGTCTAGGGGAGCCTACCATGAAGACAAGCGGAAGTCACAGTGCAAGAAGAAAAATACGATGAATACCAGAGCGGCAAGAAAATGAGTGGCTTTGAAGAACTCGTAGAATCGGTTCCTGTAAGGGTCAGTTTGAGTTGATAGTTTAGTATTAAGGAGGCTGACCTGATGGCTGGCAATGACATGAAAGTTAGATATGCCTGCGGGATTATAGCAGCAACCCCAGTCCAGTATGTAACCTCCGTCTTCCACTGGTCGACCATATCGCCTTGATCAATGTGGTAAATAATGAAAGGAAAGGTGTGGACGAGCGCCAGGACAAACATAGCATAACTCGTCCAGTGATGAAACACCTGGGCATGGTTAGCGTTTACCTTGCCACATTAATGATACACATACTTGAAGCTTTTCGTGGGGCACGCCGGTCAAGGTTGAGATAAAGTTAGCTTTTGCGCTCAATGCTCTGCTTGGGTCAGTCATCAGTCATGTTGTTGTCGATTGGAGTGGCCTACAAGACAAATGGTAGCAGAGCCAGGGCCATCCATCCACTTCTCGTCGCAATTGGTGGGCTACCTCCATAGGAGACCGTTTCTGTATTGGGCCAGTAGTAAGGCTGCGGTCCCAGTGTCATGGCTTGATATAGTCAGTCAAGGGCTCTAATGCTCGAGAATCGAAAAACCAACCCAAGAAGAATACTACTCCAGTCGACACCAGGAGGATGACCCCTAGCGACGAGGTGCTGGAGCGCAACACGGGTAGTTGGAAGCATCGGTAGGCAAGATATCTTCCCACTGTTGTTGATCGTCGCCATATTGTAGTCCTCTTGAAGGACTGCGGACCATACTTGGAAATCAGATGCAGGATGGAGAAAACACCAACAGTCGCACATAGAAAGTATATAGTATTCAAAGCATAGACGTGGTCGGATTGATACCTGTTAATGAAGACACGATTAACAT